AACATGAATGTAGGAAAATGTCATTTTGAAACCTAGGGGAGACTGAGGGAGAATTATGTACACCTTTAGCAAAACACCTTATAATCTTTGCCTGATAATCTTGCTTGTTTCTTGGTGTTTGAATAAGGATGAACTATATATAGGCTCATGTTTTCACAGTCTAGGAATTCAATCACCAGTAAGAACAAATCTCAGATGGGACTCATGATTCTGTCATAGCTTAATGTCTGTACATGGACTTGTTAAATGAGCAAAAGTATGTATTTGGAGTAAAAGTTACCAAGTTTACAATTTCCAGCATTTTTTTCCCTTATCTTATGAGGGCAACATTTTGGAGATACTTTTTTTTGCTAATTTTCCGAGACATCCATTTGAGAATGAAATCTTCCTTGTTTTTCTTACTTTTAAAGATTAAGCGGTTTCATTTTTACTAGCACATTCTTATGCACTTTCAATTGCAAATTTTGGTTCTTCCAAATAAAAATGAGATCATAATATATACCTTGGGTTTTATGAAGGCTCTTTCAAAATGTTCTGGTCAGCCTTGTCGGGCAGATTACTGCAGATTTTTGAGCAGGCTTTGAAAAGTTCACCCTTGTCCTTGAGGCTAAAAGGTAAAACAAATAAAAGTTACATCTGAGTTGTGGCTGCCCTTTTATAAATGCTTTTCTTTGCCCTCGTTTTAGATCTTGTGGCTGAGGCAGGTGCCACACTAGGAGTGGCCATAGGAATTTGGAAATATCTCCTGTAATGAGTTTACATTGCAGAGATGTAAATTTTTAATCATTTATGTATCTGTCAGATTTCTGTTTTATCTGAGGAATCTGAGAGCTTCTGCTTTCTGAACAGAAGCATTTGGAAAAATAGTAGAACCTGTAATAAGTATTGATGTTGTATTCATATCTTTAAAAGCCTTTAAAAAACCCCAACTGCCACTCTGATAGAAGAAACAACAACATCCTTTATTTATCATAAAAAATCCCCCACATAACCTCTGAAAAGTCAAATCAGCTTTGAGAATCTCATTTTTTCGTGGAAAGAAAGGCAATTTTTTTTTTTTTTTTATTTAGCACAGTTTTTAAAATATCATTTGGGATAGCAGCAGGTGATATTAAAATACTGGGATTTTCTATTACTATTGTAATAGAAGCAAACAGCATTAGGTGATGTATAGGATTTAGAAATTAGTTTTCTATGGTTTCTACTTTTTGATTCTGTGAAAATCCTAGCTGCTTCTGTTGAGGACAAAGGATTTCTTGTATTTTTTGGGCTCAAGTCTTATATTGCTTCTCAGCACTATATAAGGTAAAGTATGTTTTAGAATTTTTCTCTCTAAAGAAAAATCTAAAGAAAGTATCTAAAGACACTAGATCAGCAATTTAGATCAGCAATTTATATACAGAAATATATTCTTTCTGGCAGTGCAGCAGGCCTTTAAGCCCTCTTCTTTCAAAGTTATTTTGCCACTAGTTTGATGCAAAGGGTAAACACAAATAGTAAAGCCATTTCACAAAAATAGTGTCAGAACTATTAGTTGATCAGAGCTTGGAGAAAGCAAATTATTATTAAACAGGAACCGTTATATTAGTAGCTGTGTATTTGAAAATTTTAGGAAATATCTCCATAAACATTTTTAACTTGTGCTCTGTGTGTGGCTTTGTGTGCATAATGTAACATTGTGTAGGAAAAGTTGGAATTTGTTTGTATTTCTAGACCTCTATTTTTTGGTATGGAACTTATTTGTGTTTTGTATCATCCTCATTTTCACTCATCCCTTAATGTTAGCAGGAATTTGATCATTGACCAAACATATAGATGCAGGAACCAAAACACTTGTGAACTATAAGGCTTATAAAAATTGGCTGCTGGATCACTTTTTGAAGACTTTGAGGTATTTAGAAACTGATTAGTTCAAGAACACTTCAGGTTTATTGTAGTCATCCTTAACAAACAGTCAAACTTAACAGTAGTTATGTTCATCAGAAATCAAATAATATTTGCTAATAAAAATCCAGTGAACTTTTATCAGGCAAATTTCTTCCCACATTAAACCTGTAGTAATCCTTAAAGGCAATTGCACTTAAACACAGTGGATTTGGGTTACATTTCATGATTTTAATGTTCTGGTGTGAACTCAGATTCTTTCTGCTCTTTTGGTACTTGTTACTAAATAACTGCTTTTCTAAATGAACAGATCTTACTATACATTAAAATTTATGGTCAAAATTGAGCTCTTGTGGTGTCTCCTCAGACTCAAACAGGCTTTTTGCCCCATATATCAAAATAAGTGTTTTGCTTTGTTTTATTTTTCTGTATTTCCTAAATTTGACTGGAGATATTCCCTGGACAGACTCGTCTCTCTAAATGGTCACGGTTGAATATATTTTAAGGGGGAGCACGTACAGTTAGGGTTTTGCAAGGTAATTTTGTTTCTTTGATGATAAAGGATTCTTAAAGAAACCACAAGCCTTAATAAGTAATCCCATGGAACAGAAAAGGTATCAAGAAGAATTGTCTGAACTATATGGTCCATGTGGCATGTTTAAGTCACTTTGTTCTTTTGAAAAATATTAATCTGTCAGCATAAAGTTTTGTACTGAAAAACTTTGCTCTCAATAATTGGAACACTCATCTTGGAAACTTTTCCACTACTTTTATGTAACTGTATCTTATTAGAGAACTGGAGTGGTTTCCAGAGCTTTCCAAAGTCTTTCAAATTCTTTATTGATAAAGACGTCAATATTACTTCTGCTAACCTTATAATGCTTCCCATTTAATACTCTTTTGACTTGTAGTCTACTTAATTTTTTTTCATTCATTTTATTATTTTCAGTTCTGCTCTGGATATTCTTTGTCAAGAAAACCGATGAAAATTTTTTGATAGAATTGCCTCTGAGTTGAATTTGAGAAGATAAATTGGTCTGGGGGAAAAAAAATCATGGATAACTTTCTCAAAACTAGTATTGGAGAAATGGCTTAGTCTTAATATCTTTACTTAGTTTTATTAAAAAAATGTATTTTACAAGAGTTTGAGATTATTTTTTAAGAGGCATGTATTGGTTTGACAGACATTTTTGCCCCACAAATAAATGTAGACGTGTTTACAAAGAAATAGTGAACTTCCTTGCAAAAAAAATGTTTGAATTCCAGTTTATTTACTGTCTAGCTACGAGGATTTCAAATAGCCATCACACTCAGCAGGTGGTGAAGATAGTACCTCAGACTAGGATTCAAAAGAAGAAAATGTGAAGGCAAAGTGTAGCAGAAGTCATTCCTGCTCTGATAATTCAGGAGCACATAAAAAGACTTTTGAGAGATGGATTGATATTCCAAGCTTTACAACTATGATTGTGTAGCTATTTGTTGTGATTAAAAAATTAAATCCTTTCCTACTTGCCAGTGGATTTGGACAACTGCATATGTACTTTCTATTTGTCAGATAGAATGGGTAAACAATTTTTGGCATGTATACTGTTTGCTAGGAACCCATTTTATTTATTGTGTGAGATATTTTTGTAGATAAATGGTAAGGTGTTTGCCCATTTGGTTAACAGGACATTTTGAAAAGGAATGTAATGAACAAACAATAGAAAAATCACAGATGGTACTGATCATCCAGTGTGTACTCTTCCCAGTAGGAAGGCATGGATATTCATGTAGACATCAAGTACTAAGTATACGAAGTATAACAAAATGGTGTTAGAATATTCAAGAGGAGGCAAGAAGATGTTTGCAGTAAAATACTTATATTATGGAAGTGGGAATGTTAGAGGGAATGTGCCGTTTTTCCAGCCAGTGCTAAGTAGAACTAAACCTTCAGCTGCTTCTCATAAAGTACCAAGCAAAAATATGGAGATGGGTCAGAAAGCCAAACCAAAATTATTCATAGAATGTCTTTTCTTAATTTCCAGATATATATGAAGCTTTTAATGCAAGGTGCCTTCCCACATTCTAGGCAGGGAGAATGAGATGCCATGTTGTAGAACCATTGATTTATTTTATTTTTTCTGTGAACTCAAATCTTAGCTAAGATTGGATTGATCTGAGACAGTAAAGACTCATAGCTCCTGGCTTTCTGCCAGCACTCTTGTTAAAACATTCGTAGAATTCATGATAAATTTCTTGTACAAGTGTCCTTTTATATCTTGATTCACTAGACTGAGTGTAGGAAGTAAGCGTCAATGGCAAATAACAAAGTAACTATTTCAAAGAGCTGCCACATGGCTTACATTTTTACAAATCGTTATTGACTTGAATTGTTGAGTCAGGGAAAGTGCTTCTCCTGCTGATGTATAACATGGCTATGTGCAGAAGCTGAAATAGTCTTTGTGTTCATGCAAAGTTTCTTGTACTGACTAAAGGATATAGAGATTTTACAGGGCTATTTTTTTTTAAGAGTTTTTCTATTATATATTTTACTGTCTGTGAATACCACGTTCTTTTGATGTTCCACAAATTTCATGAAGAATGGAAGACCAAGTAGAACATAAAAGCTATGTAACTTTATTGTAGTTCAATTGTGGGTTTTTATGAATCCATTCACAAGAAAAAGTGGTAATTATTTTTCCCCCCCACATCTTTGATGCTTTCAGTGGCTAAATGATGTGGGGAGAATGTAAAAGGCATGATTTGGAAAATGAGGTTTTCCTTACTTTTTATACTTGCAGTATTTATACAGCACAAGCAAATACATTTTTTCCTATGCCTAGCCCTGCTCAATGGGGATCACAGTTTTAAAAATTGCATTTTGACACAAGAAATATAGATGGGAAGCTTATGCTGAATGTGGTAACATTACCTGTAAAAACTTTGGCACCTTCTCATTGATATGCAAGTTTATTCTGCAATTCTGGAACTGATGGTAAGGTTCTAATTAGTCTCTAGAGTATTCATGTGGACAATAGATTGCTCATTATCTTATCAACTTTCCGTTAAACTAATTGGCTATTTCTCATATCGAATGTGGAAACTGAAATGACACATGGTAATTTGTCTTCCAGATGTTGCAACTGCCTATCCAGATAAGAAGTCCATCTTGATGTATGTGACTTCGCTCTTTCAAGCCCTGCCCCAGCAAGTCACCATGGAAGCCATCAGGGAGGTGGAGATGCTGCCACGGCACACAAGGATCACTAGAGAAGAGCACGTAGAAGTACACGAACAGCATTTTTCACGAGAAGTGAGTTTCACTTTTCTTCTTTCATCTTGCTGCGCCAAAGGGGTTGTTTCCCTGCCTACCCCATGAGTTTGATGTTAAATGGCCAGTGGAAGACAAAAATCCCATGGGTATAATGCGCAAAGTCTCATCCACGCGCAAGTCAGATGTACTTCTCTACATGTACTTTCATACTGGTTTTCCTCTCACACCAGACTGTTTTAAAAATTGCTATTCAGCAAGTAAGTGCTTTGCACTTCAGTTCTCCAGCATTGTGCGTTTTGATGGTGGCACGACACATCAAAGAAACACAAATTTGGGCAGGCCTACATTTAAAAGCAGATAGAAACATCCTTACCTTTTTAGAGAATAGAGTTGGTGTTTATCCATAGTCATGGTACATTTTTAATTTTTTAGCTTTTTATTTAAGATGACCTGTGTTTTAAAATAATCTCTTCTCAGTTTACTGTTGTCCTCTTAAAAAACTCATGTAATAATTGGAATTTATTTATGATTGCAATGTCAGGTTTGTTTTTTACTGAAACCATCAGACAGCCTCTTCTAAAGTGTTTAGTGCATTTTAGGCCTAGATAACTTGTCTGAATTTAATCTGTATGGTTGGGTATGGGATGCTCACTCTATTTCAGAGTACTGAGCAGATAAATATTGGCTCTCTTTATTCAAGATGTGACAAAAGATCACTTGCTTTTTGAGCCTCTGCTTGTAAATTATAAAAAAACTTCACTTTACATTGTTATTCTGCTGGTGTGGAGTCCTGACAGTTTGTTGCTTTTGGAAAGGGTGTCAGATTAAATGAGAGGTTTCCTTAATACCATCCCATTTTGCCTGCTGAATACCAACATTGTCCTTGAAAAATGACCTTCCTGCTTCTTTTTCTTCAACTGCTCTTGGAATCAATACTTACTTCTACAATCCATGCTCCTACCCATGTGTACATTCTAATTTATTCGTAGATCACAGTCAGTGTACCCCAGGGACCTTCGCCTTCTCCTAAACCGCGGTTCAAAAGTTACGCGTACGCGCAGGCGGTGTATGTCACAACCCCTGACCAAAAAAGGAGGCAGGTTCCTCCACAGGTCTGTCAATATTGCAATTTTTTGAGAGAGTTGTTTTGTTAAGCTCGTGTTTGGAGTGAAAGAGCTCATGCACTTTGCTTGTATGTGATCTTAATGACCTGCTTTTTCCAGGACTTTTCTCTGTCGAGTGTTTACTTTTTTCTGTATATTTCTGCATGGCTGGCAATAGCTGTTGTGCTGATTGTAGGGGATGATTAACATTCAAGCACTGCTGTTTCAGAATCAGAAATTTCCTTCTTTGTTCAGTCATTTTTTAAAATAGTACATATATTGCCTTAAAAAAGTATTAGAAGAACAAATCTAACATAAGCCATATTTGGCATCTATTATATTACAGCCCCAGGTTCAGTTATGGAAAAAAAAAAAAGAACTGTTGGCTTTCTCTCTTTTTCTTACCCTTCCTGTTAAAGAAAATAGTTAATGATGGCATTTCTCAGAAGGTTACTGTAGTTGGAAAAAAAGGTGAAACAAGTATTAAATTTTGCGCTGTGTTATTGGATTACAACAGTTGGTAATTTTTATCACAAATGGCATCTTGCTGGTACTGAGGTTAAGGGGTTATATTTGATTTTTTTTTTTTATTTGTTTGATTTTGATTTTACCTTTAAATAGCTGGGGTGGTTTAATAAAACTTGTTTTAAGTAATCCTTATAATGAGAATTTCAGTAGTTGAATTTTTATAACTTTTGACAAGTATGAGACCCAAAGGTCATATTGTGTGCTGCAATGTGATTTCCTTTCATTACTTCAGGGAGAAAAGATCTCTGTATATGTGGTGCTACAGTTTGAGTTTGCCTCTAGGTACTTAATTCTGTCTAACATCTAAAAATCTATTGCAAAATTATACTTCTATTCAACATTGTATTCAAATCTACTGTTCAAGTGACAGGTTTTTTATTGAAAAATGACTTCCTTTAAATACTCCAGGACAGAAAGCCTGTGCACACAAACATGAGCCGTGCCTACATTACTCTAACATCAAATGTGTTGCAGTGATGAGTCACACAGCTTTGAAACAAGATGGTTAAAGCAATTGTAATTGTTCTACTTAGAGACACTATACAGATATTTTAGAGTAATGAAAAGTTATTATACAGGATAGATTTTTTTTCTTCAGGTACTTTTATTGTGATCACTTGCAGGTTTTTTCAGCACCTCTGCCATCAAAAGTAATGCATAAACTGAAATAAATGAAGTCATTTCTACACAAAGCATGGTTGCTGAAATTTACTAAGATATAATTTGATTATCCAGTCCTCATCTTGCATTCCAGTTTTCAGATCTCTTCTTCTTGAATTTGGAAGCTTAATCTACTACACCTTCATGCAAGAATTAATACAATATATTATAATTCTACCAATATGACAGGAGCTGAAGACATAACCAGAATCTGAGCCAAAATGTGCTACAGCCACAACAGATATTAACAAATGGAAAGCATTTACTTAAGATTCCTTTGGGAAAGCCACCAAGCAAATTCTCATTATAATCAAGATAAACTTGAATTATACATATAATAATTAAGATCCCAAATCAATACATAGATTTAGTAGTCAGTGGTTTGGTTTTTTTTTTGCCTTCAGCTATGTATTTCTTAAAGAAGAGCTGTTGTTTACCTGTTAAAGCAAGTTTATAATGCTGGTTAAATAGTGGCTCATAATGTTTTCTCCAGATACATGGAGCTGGTATAACTTAATCCCATCTATTTTAACTAAATAAAAAAATATTATTTCCTTTTCATTTCTTAGTAGCACTTCAATTTTCTGCCAGCTATATTATGATTTTTGGATACCTTTATAAAAAATGCAGTTGCCTTAAGCATTTCAGGAAAATCTAATTCTCTAGGGGACTGCAATAAAGAAATCAGAAGAAATTAACCTTTTTTTTTCTCTTGGATTTTTTAAAGTTTAAGTAGGTGACTCTAATTTTCATCTAGTTATCAAAGAAAAGTTTATTAGATTTAGTTGATTGTTGCCTGCCAATTTCCATGGTATTTTTGGTGCTGTCATAGAGAAGCAATTTTCACAAAGTATTTCGGTCTTCTGTTAAAATCATGGAATCATTCTTTTTTTCTCAATCTCTGCAAAATTTTTGCTTATAGGACTTGAATATTATAATTTCCCCAAAACAGTCATAATTAAATAAGGCCTCTTTCCAAAGATTTTGATCATGATCCTTCAAATTTGACCAAATATGGGTTTTGATACATGGCATACATTTGCTTCATATGTCAGTTGTCAGAAATTGTAAGAGAGATGAATTGTCATTCTCTGTGCTCCATATTGGCAAGAAGGAATAACATTTCCTTTCACACCATCATTTGTCAAAGTTCTTTCTCTTCTAGCTTCTACCCTTGTCTTTTCTTTTATGTCACATTTCACCTCATTTCTCTTTCCTCATCTTCACTCTTCCTAGTAGCTTCACAACTTGTGTGCCTTCAAATTCACCCTTCCTTTCCGAATTCTTACTCTGCACTCAGGAGGGTACTTGCAAGACCTTGCAAGTATTTCCATTGTGCAAATTGTGGCCAGAACAAGTTTTGCTTTTTTCAACTGTGACATTCTTCAAATTCAAGGGCAATCATTGCTCTGCAAACCTGTTCACTCAGTGCCTTCTTGTTCAGTCAGTGCTTTACCACTTCTGGTTGAACCAGTGAAACATTTTCAAATGCCAGAGGTAACACAAATAACAGTTTTTCTGCTAAAATTAAAGAAAGGTTTTCCTCCTTTACCTTGTTTACTTAGACACTTTTAATAAACTCATGAAGATCTTTGGTCAAGAATCTACTTCTCAAACCTGAATCCTTGAATTTGCTGAATGAACACTAAAAAAGGTCCAACAGGAAATATTTATGGTTTTCAGTTTTTATGTCAGTTTTTATATGGCAGTTAGTTCTTGGCAATTACAGAAGACTTGACTGAATTTGCAGGTCTGTATTTTGTCTTGTATGTGTTCTTGTAATAAGGCTTCACTTTGAAATATCCAGCTTAACACACAAATAAAAGGATCCTCAAGTAATTTTCTGAGACATTTCAAAATCCTAATTTAAAACTACTCATTGTTTTCTGTTTATATTTATGAAAGCACTGGGGTTTGTGTTATTGATTTATCTCATTGAACACCTGACCAAGAAGAATGTTGTGTTTACTTTACATTTTGGTCTGTTCCTAGTATTGATCCCAGGCAAAACTCCTATCTCACTGCTTCCATTTTTACTTGTTCTACAGGTCTTTTAAATTCCTTGGGAGGTGGTGACTCTACCACTTCTCTAGGCAGACTGTTCCAGTGCTTGATAACCCTTATAGCAACAATTTTTTTCCCATTGTCCAATCTGAACCTCTCCTGGCACAACTTGAAGCCATTTCCTCCTCTTCTATCGCTTGTTATGTAGAAGATGCCAACCTCCCCCTCACTACAAACTCTCTTCAAATTGTTGTAGAAAGCAATAAGGTCCCCAAGTTTTCCCCCAAGCCTCCTTTTCTCCAGGCCAAACACCCCCAGCTCCCTCCGCTGCTCCTCATCAGACCTGTGCTCCAGACCCTTCCCCAGCTCTGCTGCCCTGCTCTGCACTCACTCCAGCCCCTCAGTGCCTTTCCTGCAGTGAGAGGCCCAAAACTGGACACAGGATCTGAGGTGTGGCCTCACCAGTGCCGAGCCCAGGGGGACAATCCCTGCCCTGGTCCTGCTGCCACACTATTGCTGATCCAGGCCAGGTGCCATTGGGCACACCTGGCCCCTTGAGCACACCTGGATCATGTCCAGCTGCTGCTGACCAGCACCCCCAGCTCCTTTTCCTCCTGGCCTTTCCAGCCACTCTGTCCCAAGCCTCAAGACTTTCCTGGGGTTGTTGTGACCAAGGTGCAGAACTTGGCACTTCGGCCTGTTAGACCTCATTCAATTGGCCCATCAATCAGCCTGTCCAGATCC